TTAATTGCATTATTTAACTATTAGTATTAAATAATGTATATAATGGTGTAGAATAATATCTTCAAAACTTCCTGATGATATGAAATTCGATAATTTGATGTTGATGCTTTAGTAGACAACTTTGGAACTTCTACTGAAAAATTGACGTTTAAGTACTTTTAACACAGCCGCAAGTAGTTTCTATGGTATATATACTTCCCGGTGACTTAAAAAAAAGAAGCATTTAGTGAAAGAAAGAATAAAGAGAAACAAGAACACAAGAAAAAAAACTGTACATCCCGAAGCTACGGTAATATGGAATTCGATAATTTGATATTGATGCTTTAGTAGACAACATCGGGACTTCTACCGAAAAATCGATGTTTAAGTACTTTTAACACAGCTGCAAATAGTTTCTATGGCATGTATATTTCCTGGTAACTTAAAAAAAAAAAAGCATTTAGTGAAAGAAAGAATAAAGAAAAACAAGAACACAAGAGCAAAAACTGTACATCCTGGTTTAGATCTCTATTTACCGTCTCTTTTTCATATTTCCCGGTGGCCTAAAAAAAAGTATTTGGTGAAAGAAAGAAAAGGAAAAAAAAAGCTATAATTCCAGGTCTAGATTTCTATTTCCTGGCTTTATTTCATACTACCTGGTAAATTTAAAGAAAGGAGTGTTAGTGAAAAAAAAAGAAAAACACAAGAACGCACAAGAAGAAAAAAAACTGTATTTTTCTAGTTCAGATCTTTATTCTCCAACTCTATTTCATATTCCTCTGTGACCTACAAAAAAGTATTAGTGAAAGAAAAAAAGAAAAAAACACAAGAACGCACAAAGAGAAAAAAAAATTATACTTTCTAGTGCCAATTTCATGTTGAATCTACAAAAGGAAAAATTTTTACTAGAAAAAAAAGAAGGAAAAAGATAGAGAACTAATGCTAACTCTATATTAATTCTAGTTCTCATCATGTCAAATATCTATTTCCAATTGCTAATCCTATCCCACGTTCTAACAAAAATAGAGTTAGTAACCATTAAAAAAAAAAAGAACTAGCATCAAAATAGTTTCTAAATATTAATATCTCTGTTCAGACTCAAACAAATTCTAGATTTATAAAAATGTAATCATTAAAAAAGAAAAGAAAAAAAAAACTAAAAAAGAGAACTAGCATTTGCTACCAGACAGTTTCTAAGTCAATCAATAAAAAACAGAGAGAATGATATAGTTACTATTTATTATTATAATAAAAGAAAAAAAAAAGGGAAAGAAAAACATACAGAGACTTATTGTTAGGCTGATACACATTTCAAGCCTTTCACCTAGTCCCATTGCTTTACCGGCATCATCTCAATTTCAAATTTGAAAAATAATGCTGAGCTAAAGCTTAAAAAGAGAAAATTTAGTTTCCAACCAATCAAAAGCAGGGAGTGTTGTTGACTAAAAATTGCTAGAACCTCACTAGAAGAAAAATTAATAATACCACTAGAACTTTTACCAGGGGAAAATTTCCATTAGCATTAAAAATTCCTGCTAGAAGTAAAAAATAAAGATACGTACGTACGTATGAACTTTAGCTCATTGATTTATATTTATTGGCCAACAATCAGATGATGATACAAATGATTTTCAAATATAAAGTATTTTAGTGGAGTCAAAATTTTTATTATAAAACTTTAATAAAATATTACTAATTACAATTTTTATTTCAAATTCTATAAAAAAAATCATTAATTTCCAATTGATAAATTATGTATAAACTTTAATATTATAATTAGACATTCAAAAAAATTAAATAATCTAAAGTTTACAATTTTACTCTTACTATACAAATAATGTTGATCGAAATTGTTTCGAGCTTGTAGAAATATTTTAAATTGTCTTAAAGTAAAAATCATTGCGCAGATAATTTCGATTATTTTGATCATGCTGAATACCATCACAAGTATGTTCACAGTCGTGCAAAAAATGATATTGCTGCTAATAATCAACCATCGAGATAGTAAAAATACATCGTCATTGATGATTAGTTTTATGTTGAAGATGAAATTGTGCGTATTCCAATATAGAATGTGTTTTTTTAAGTCTTCAAACCAATCAAAAATAAAAAAGCATAGACTTTGTCATTGTTTGCTTAGTGTGTGATAATTGCTTTGACTAAAGCAAATAAGTTATTATCAGAATTACTAATCTCATTTAACTCAACTACATTCCTGACTTGAACTTTAATTCAAGAATTGGCTGCTTTACTATGTTCTACTGAAGGATTATCATCATTATCCTCCTCTATGACAACATAACTAATATAGTCAAAAAACGAAACCTTGTATGTATTTAAAGCGCCAAACATATTAAATTCTTCACAATAGGCCTTATATAGGTCTAAGTCAAGGTTATTATTATCTTTATCAAGATTCCAACCACCAAAGCCTCTTTTCTGAATTTTCTTATTTTTCTAAAGCTTCTGGGTACGAATTTTCACAAAATAGTTATCATTACAAAAAATTATATCTTTATAAAAAAAATATATTAATACAAGTTGTGAACTCAGTAATGAAAACCAATTAAGCTTTTACTATAGCGAAATTAAATCCAAACTCGTAAAAATTTTTCTTGACTCTTGATTAGTGTTCGAAATTAGCATTCTCAGAGTTCTCATAAAAACATATTATAAATTTGTGCACAGTATAAATATTTTACTGTTTATTATTAACATTTTTTGAGAACAGTAAAATAATAATAGTGTTTTCATAAATATACAATAAACAGCTGCATAATGTCGTTATACCAAGCCAGAAACCAATAAATATACATGTGTTAATTTAAGATAAATTAATAAATATTTATCTATTATTATTAAGCAATTTGAATTATTTTTTTTATTACGTACTATATACAACTACAGTATATATTTTCTATTTTCTAATATACTGTATATATTAAATATATGATTGTTTTTTTTTTTTTGTGAACAACTTGAGAACAGTATTGGGTTTGAAATTTTGAACACTACTCTATAAAATAACTTTGTTATATAACAAAAGCTATTTGTATGATATAAAATAAGATGCTCCAAGTAGATAAAAATTACCATTTGTTTCATTTTCTTCAGATTCTATATCATTAATTAGATCAGATGGTTTTGTAATGTACTATTCCAAAAGTAAATATTCTAGTAAAGAATGATTTGAATAATCTGAGCCTGGAACACATTCATCTCTCCTGCTATCAAACCAAAACTGCAATGCTTGAAGCATGTTGTAATGTCTTAAAAGATCAAAATCAAAATTTTTTTTGTTTATGTGTGGAACAAAAGCTTTGAATAAACCATGCATAGTCTCTTTAACACCACAGGCAGTATTAACCAAGGTTCTGTAGTTCTTGGCATTCACAATTAGATGTATATTGACGTGAAGGTTTGGAATACAAAGGAAAGATTCTGGAAATAATTATAAAAGATTAATAAAATGATTAGTGTTGGCAATTAGAACAATAGAATAAAACATAATTTTTTTTTCTTTAAATAAAAAATTAATATTAGTAAATTAACAAATTGAATATATATTTATAAGAATTATAACTAGAGGTCTGATCTGATAAATAGTATATTCGAATATTCGAATATACATTTGTTTCACTGAATTGAATATTCGAATATAAAAATTTTTCACCAAATAAGTCATTGAATATTCAATAAATATATACTATCTAATCAACAAATTAAATGAGAGTAGATGAACAAGATAAATCCTTATTAGCTAGAAGTTTCCCTATTGATTTTCTATTTTAATGTAGCTTGTATAAAATTTATTTGTTAGCTTGTGTATTTAACTCTCAATTATTTAACTTTCATACTGCATCAGGAAGTTTGAAAAGCATTTGAAAACTATTAACTAATGCTAGTTATTATTTAACACTAAAAGAAGTAGGGAA